GCCCCTTGCAGCACTGGGCTTGGAGAAGCCAAGTGTTAAGGGAAGAGCAGGATATGAGGGTGAGGGGCTGCCTGGAGCTTCCCAGCCCTGCACCACAGCTCCTTGTTCCCCCCACACCCAGGATGCCGCTGGGGGTGGGGGTTCACCATCACACCCTAGCACAGGAAAATGCTCCAGGAGGACTGGGATGTGCTACAGCTCAGCCCCAGCCCAGTGGGATTCATGGATTCACGGATCAGCTGCCTTGCTTGGCCCCTTCCTCACGCCCCCACTGTGGCACAGCTCCCCCCAGCCCAGAGACACACAGCACCCCCCAGGACGGGATGCTGCTAACAGGCGCTTCCGACACGTTCCCATCCTCCTTTCCTGTTCTCCCCTTCCCCTTCCCTGCTGGGGGACCCCCAGCTGTGCTGCTCCCGAGGAGATCTGAGCTGCTCCTCCAGGAGATGCTGCTCCTCCAGGAGATGCTGCTCCTCCAGGAGATGCTGCTCCTCCAGGAGATGCTGCTCCCTGCTCCCGGCACCTTCCCGGCTGCTGCTCCCTGGCCGAGCCGCTGGCTCACAGTTACAGCGAGAGGAGCCCCGGGAATGGGGCAGAGGGGAAGCAGGAGGCGCTGGGTTTCCAAACCTCGCAGCGGGGCTGTAATGAAATACGGCCGCGGGTTTCCAGGAAGGAGCCGACGCCGGCCAGGAGCGGCTCTGCGGCGGCATCCCAGACACGCCAGCTATTCCCTGTGCCACCGGGGCAGCCACGGCAGGCAAAGCAGAGCACGGGCTTTAGGAACAGCAGCTGCCCACGTTCTTGGGGTGAACCCAACCCCACAAAGCCCGTCTGGGGGGTCTGGGGAGGGGAAACACTGACATCCACTTGCTGGGACCCCCTCGGTGCTTTTCCTAGCCATGATGCTGCCAGGAGCCAGATACACACCCCTCCAGCAGCATTTGATGCCCCTTCCCCCCCCACCAGCCTCTCTTTCTTAGTGGATGAATTTCCCATTTCCTCTGTACCATTTAATTAAAAGTTAACACGCGCTTTTTAAGCCGGAGCCCGCTAAGCAAGTGCTTTGTTAGAGCTTAATTATATCCCCGCTCAGAGCTGCAACAGAACATCGCCACGGCCAAGGGGAAAGTCCTTGAGGAAGCTCAGATTTATGCCTCCCCCGTTCCTGGAGCACCAGCAGCCACTCCAGCTCCTGCAGATGGCTCTGATAAACCTGACCCCGTAAATACGCCACCACCCCGCAGTGAAAGCCCAGGTCAGTCTGCAGAGACTGGAGTAGGAGCCAACCCGACCCTGAGCCACTCCAGCCACCCTGGTCCCCTGTGTGACTGGCACATCCCCAAAATACAGCCACAACACCAGGCAGGGCATCACTGTGGGAAAGGACAGCAAAAACTGTTGTGTAAAGGGAGTTATACAACACTGATGGAATCACACGGGCATGAAATGCTTCTCCACCAGGCACCCACCTCCCCAGACAGGGCCCACTGCTGCCAACACGGTGCCAGCAGGGGCTGAGAGCATCCCCTGGCTGAGTGTCTCCCGTTGGAAAAGCCCTTTGCTGGCATCACTGCTACTCCACACAGTGCTGGGGTTCTGGAAAACCGCCCTTCCTGGCAGGAAAAGCCCTGCTTTGAGTTCCCATCTGACCAGCCCTGCCTACTTGCCAGGGTGCTGCTGTGCCAGCTCAGCCAAGACTGGGCTGCCCAACTCGAGCTGTGCCAGGCAAGGGCTGAGCTGAGCCTGCTCTGCCCCCACCCCAGGGGGAACTGGGGAGCCTTGCTCTGTGCTGGGGGCAGTGACCTGCCCCTGCCCCTGGGGAGGGTCCAGCAGCCCCACAGCCCTGACCTCACTGCTCCCCACACACCCCACAGCCCCTGGACACGCTGCTGAGAACAATGCAGCTCAGTGCATGTGCCAGATCACAGGCAGGAGGAGGAAGAACAACAACTCCCAGCACCTGGACTGGCCATCCAACACCCCCCAGAGCAGGATGCCCCCGTGCCCCATCCCTGCTGGCTCCCAGCTGCCCGGGGTGCTGGGGTTCCTGCACACCTTGTTGTGCTCCGGTCCTCCTTTAATTTGCCGCCAGATCTGATGGCCCAGCGCCCTCCACGTGAGCTCACCTCTTTGGGTTGCTGCTTTCCAGCTTGCTGCTGTGTCAATAGCTGCAGGTGAAGCTGCTCCTGTTGCTTCTTGTAGTATTCCTGCAGCTGGGAGGGGAGAGAGCAACCGGATTAGCAGCAGAAACACCCCAAGCCCAGTACCAGGCTTTGCCACAGCCACGTCAGCTCCTGGCACTGTGTCATTAGGGCAGGCTCCTGGCTACAGGGTGGAGGGAAAGGACCCACCAGAGGAGTCAGGGCACCAGAAGAACCCTGGGCACATGTTCCCAAAGGCTCTGGATCCCCACAGCAAGTGAAATCTCCCAGCACCAGCAGTGCCAAACCCGCTGCTTGTTTTATTGTCCCTTAGAAGCAGCCCTGGGTGCTCTGGCAGCAGGGTGTTTCAGCTGTGGGGAAACCCCATTTTCAGCACAGTGGGACCCCAAAACCCCCCTGGCAATTGCAGTGAGAGCCAGGGGGACTCCCAGCTGGGAAGGGGTCAGAAATAGCCACAGCCCCTGGTCTGGCCCTAAATAAACTGTGGGTGACGGATTTGGTGTGTGCAGGG